AAGTTTACATCTCTAACAATATACAGTGCTGTTCTATATTCTTTGTCCCTTGATTTAACAAGGGTGTCAAACATTCTGTTTCTTTTTTTTTGTTTTTGTTTTTGTTTTTCATCTGGTACCAGGAATTGAACTCAGGACCTTGTGCTTGCCAGGCAGGCACTGTGCTGCAGAGCTAAATCCCCAGCCGTATCAAACATTCTGAATTGAGATTTTTTCCCCTCAAGGTTTTTTTTTGAGATTTAACCATCTTCATGAAGACATGCGCTCCACTGAATCCATTTTAACTGCCGTGTAGCATTTCTTCGTGGAGCTGCTCATTTGCCCGTCTTCTGTTGCTGGCCTTGTGGGCGGGGGCAGCTTGTCGTGGAGCACACAGCCCGGAGCCTGCTTGCACGTCCTCTGCACAGGGCCTGGTCATTGCGTACCTGCAGCTCCGAGTGTCAGGTTGTGTTCCAAAGCGGTTGGCCTAACTTACAGGCCTCAGCAGGCGTCACTTTTCTTTAAACCTGTGCTGAACAGAGAGACGCTTGCTGTGGACCCTGTCCTCCAGGCCTTGTTCCCTGGGCCTCTCAGGTGGGTGGACAGTCCCCGCTTCAGAGGGAGGACAAGGCCTGGGTGCTCTGAGGCCTCCTGGGCGCGGGCGCTGGCAGACTCAGTGCGTCTCCTGGGTGATGGGGCCTCCCTGGGCAGCCTGGGCAGCAGAACCGCGCGACAGGAAGTCACGAGGGGGAGGCGCTGCTTCCGATGCTCGGGGACCGGGCTGGAGGTCAGAAGCCACAGAGAGCGCGTTAATTTTGAATGAGGAGTTGGGGGATCCCTGTCCCAGCAGATGGGGACTGGGAGCTTGCTGTAGACATGGGAGACAGCAGGGACCGGGAGCCGTCACCAGAGAAGGGTTGGAGGCCGGGGGGACATCCAGGTATCGGTGTTCCCGTGGGGATCGCTTTCACGGCCGCCTCCAGGACACAGGTGCTCAGCGGGGCCGGCAGCAGCGGGGCCAGTGCCTCCCAGTGCCGGCAGGGGCTTCATGTGCACTGCTGACAGCCCTGTCCCCCAGGCCGGCCGGGACCAGGCTGCACCGTGACTTCAGTCCCCGAGGATGCAATTACAAGCAAGCCCAGGTCCCTGGGCTCAGTCTGCCGGGGACACAGACTTGCAAACCAGTGCTGCGGGCCCCAAATACCAGAAGGGAGCCTGAGCCCGGGAGGGGCTGGGGGCTGCAGCAGGGACCGGGGATGGGGGTGGGGGTGGGGAAGAGACGCATCCAGCAAGCAGGAGGGGTAGACTGAAGGCGCTGTGCCCACGGGCGGGGCTGTGTCTCGTCGAGAGGTGGTGACCACGTCCCTGAGTGCAGGGTACCCAGCCCTGCCCTGCCCTCTGTCAGCTGCGTGGGCTCAGGTGCAGCTTTGCCACCCCGTGCCTCAGTTTCCTCATCTGGGGGATTCAGGAAGCAGCATAACAATACCAAGCATTAATATTAAGATTAGCGGGGCCTGGTGGCGCATGCCTGCACCTGGGAGGCTGAGGCAGGAGAACCATGACGTTTAAGGCCAGCCTGAACTGTATAACAAGACCCTGTCTCAAAAAAAAAAAAACGAAAACCACCAAACATGAGAAGCTGAGCCTGGTGGCACGTGCCTGTGATCCCAGCAGTCGGGAGGCTGAGGGCAGCCTGCACTGCATAGTGAGTTCAAAGCCAGACTGAACGACAGAATGAGACCCTGTTTCAAAAAAAAAACTAGAAAGATAGGAGAGGAGGCTGGGAAACCGCTGGCTGCTGGACCCAGGGTGGTATTGGCTGATAGTGGGAAGCCGGTGACCTGGAAGGGGATACTTTCAGATGAACTCTGGGGGCAGGGGACGCTGGTGGAAGGGAGAGGGTTTAGAGGAATGAGTCCGTCAGCCATTCATCCTGCACTCATCTCTCAGGCCTAGCAGGGCCAGACTCTAAGGCAGGAACCCAGGATATGAGGAACGCATTTCATCAAGGAGCTCCCTTAGAGTCGGGTGTGCTGACACATGCATGTCATCCCAGCACTCTGGGAGGCTAAGGCAGGATGATTTTGAGCGTGAGCCTCACGTGGGCAACTTAATGAGACCCTGTTTCAAAAACATAAGAAAGTTTGAGGATATAGCCAGAGCAGAGGCCCTGCATTCATCCCTGACTTGCTACTGCCAAAAAGAAAAGAAAACTCTGTAAGGAAAAGAAAACTCCTACCCCAGTGTCCCCTGCCATCCTGTGACTCCTTGTGGTCCGGTCCTCCTGTCCACGTTTTGTTTTGTTTTGTTTTGTTGTTTCTGGTTGTTTTCTGGTACCGGGAATCAAACTCATGACCTTGCGCTTGCCAGGCAGGCGCCATGCCGCTGAGCTAAATCCCCAGCCCCCTGTCCACGTTTTGTAAGGAAGCCACAGACAATGTGGGCTGGATGGTGGCTTCCAGCCTGGAAAGGGGGCCTCCAGCTGTCACTTCTGGGTCTCCTGGAGACAAAGGAAGACCGCTTCCACCCCCTTGTGCCCAACAAAGAGAAGTGGCCTGGGCCTGCGGCTGGCCCTCCCGTGCGGTGCCCAGGGGAGGGAGCCTCGCTGTTCCCCGAAGGCCCTGCCCTCCCTCACGGAATTCCCAGTTCCTTCCTCCTGGGCCGCCACCTGCTCACTGCCAGGCCCAGGTGCAGCACAGCCGGGCCGAGCTGTGGTTTCTCGGGAGGAGTGGCACGCGGACCGAGAGAAGGAGGGCCCGTGGGAGCAGGTGCAGAGGGAGGCCAGGTGCAGGGCACCACGCTGAGCCGAGCACAGGCCGACGGGGAAGAGGACACCTTGGCTCACTTAGAAGAGTTTGGCACCCAACGGGCTGAGCTGGTGCCAGGCTGGAGGATTTCAAGTCCCCTATGAATCAGTGGATCTCCAGGTGTGGTCTTGGGGTGCCTTAGACTGTTCGGGGACCGGTGAAGTCAAATCTGTTCCCATAGTAGTGTTTCCCAAGCTGCCTGGCCGCGTGCCCACGCTGGTGTCGGCTTTGGGCTAATGGTGTAGCAGCCGTGGGGTGAAGCTGCTGGAGCTGTCACACCCATCGCGGAAGCGTCGGTGTGACTTGGTGCCCCTTGTGTGTGGCATCCAGAGCTCTGAGTTGGAGGGCTTTTCACCAGCCTGGTAAGGGAGCATGCAGAATCCCTGAGGGGCCTCTGCTGCAAGCCCAGCCTGAGGAGCCGAAGCTCTTAGGCTGCGAAATGCATTTGTTGAGACTCCTGGAAACCTGCGTCCACCTGTTAGTGCCTGACGGCTTCCCAGGACTTGCAAGTCTCTGGTGCGATCAGTGGCCATGCACGTGGATCTTCTGCTCTTGCATAAGGAAACAGGTCATTTGGAAGATCCCTGTAGGTCAGGAAACCATTTTCCAGTGATGTTACAAAATTCAAAATGTAAGCCGGGCATGGTGTCGCACCCCCGTAATCCCAGCACTCAGGAGACTGAGGCAGGAGGATCGCTGTGAGTTTGAGACCAGCCTGGACTGTGCATCGAGACTCTGGTTTGTTTGTTTTTGTTTAAAAACTCTCCTTTGGGTGTAGTAGCAAAGGAAAGGCTGGTCAGGTCTGTCTTCTCCCAACTGCAGTCCTCATGAGGCCTTTTCCCTCAGAAAACTGGCACAGCAGGGGAACTGCAGGCGCGGACTGCCTTCGAGAACCTGCTGCCTCTGGGAAGGCAGACAGCCAAGCACCTCACAGAATGTGCCTGGTGCCGCTTTTCTCTAACTTGTTCACAAAACAAGGCTTATTTTATAAGTATGTTCTATGGATTAACCTGACGATTTTTTTGTTTTTAAACAAATGAATAGAATTTTTATTTTATTTATTTATTTTTTGGTCTTTTTGAGACAGGGTCTCGCTATGTAGTTCAGACTGGCCTTGAGCACACTTTGTAGCCCAGACTGGTCTCGAACTCACAATGATCCTCCTGCCTCAGCCTCCCCAGTGCTGGGATTACAGGCGCGAGCCACCATGCCCGGCCTACAAATGAATAGAATTTTAAACATTTCTCAGTTTTACTTTTGGATGTGATAAATATTAATAGCTTCCACCCCCTGAAGTTCTAATCTCTTAGAACTTGAGTGATTTTGAGGAGTGGAGAGGAGCCCTGGGATGGGAGTTTGACAGCTGCCACCTGGCCCCTCGACAGCCAGAGCAGGAGCCAGAGCAGGACCGGCAACCAGAGTGGCTCAAGGCGGGACATGCACATGTGACTTGACCTGGTGTCCCGGGCACTCTTGAGCTCAGTACAAGCCAGGGCAGCTCTGAGAGGTCCCCTGGAGTCTCAGTGCAGCCACGTCTGAGCTGGCCTGGTCCCAGGCCCCCGTGAGCCTCAGGTAATGAGCCGCTTCCCAGGGGCGCTGGCACCTGACAGCGCGGGGAGAAACACTCCACAGCACAGACACTTGTGTTTGCGGTTGCTTTGGAGCCATTGTGCTTCTGCCTCAGACCCCAGCGAACCTGCCTAGTAGGCTCCTGAGGGTGCGTTCAGCGGCCAGTGCGCCCCAACCCCTATTCTCCTCAGACCCCTTCGTTGGAGCCCAGCAGAGGCACAGGCTCTGATGGGGCTGTCACCCGGCCTGGGGAAGAGGAGCCAGGAGGCCAGGCTCGTGCCTGCCGAGTGCCAGGTGCTGTGCCGGGTGCCACCCACCCACCGGTCGCCTGCCGCCTGCCACTGCGGGCCCTGGAGCCGCCGCTGGGAGAGGAAGTGCAGCCGGTTACCAGTAGGGCTATTTTCATAACGGCTGTCTCAGGCTGGGGGTGGAGGGTGGCGAGGGGGAGGGGAGGGGGAGGGCCCAGCCACCGCCGCAGCGGCTCTCCAAACTAGGACTTGCTCGTCTTCGTCGTCGGCACAGGCCTGCAGCACAGCGGGAGCCAGAGCTGCTGACCCCGGCCCACCTGCTTGCCACCCCCCGCCAGCCGCCCTGCCTTCAGATCAGGTCAAAAGGACTCCCTGCCGCCCTGCTCTGCTCCTCCCTCCTGCGTCGGCCTGGGGCGGGGAGGGGGTCAGTGGCCTGCCTGCAGGCCCTGCCGCTGGGGGGAAGAAGAGGGTCTGGCAGCGCCTGCTCCCACCTGTCCGGGCAGACCCAGAAGGGAGCCACTTTCTGGACTATTCCACTGTCTCTTGCTAGTAGCCCTGGCCCACCTGCTCCCCTGGGCACTGTTGTTCTTTGTCCTGTCTGGGGCAGGACTCCTTTAGCGGTTAGGGGCCTGGGGGCATCGGGCCGCTGCAGGATTTGCGGGCTGTGGGGCGCAGCAGAGAGCAGCCCCCTGGGGACGCAGCGGGCCTTGCTCAGCACTGTGCCCTACCCAGCAGAGTCCTGCCCCGGACTGTGCTCTGCACGCTCCTCCGCAGCCAGGGGAGTCCCTGTGGGCCAGCCTGGTGCCAGGGGCAAAGGGTACCCCCTCAGTGTGTGCGGACACCCAGGTGGCCCAGGCTGCCAGGATCTGTTCCCCCTGCGGTGAGTGGTGGCCACCCTGGGCACTGCTGCTTCCCTTTCTAGGTTCCCACACCCGTATGGGCAGAGACAAACCCCAGGAGGTGGCACGACCATAGGCCCTGGGGTCTGTGGCGCTGGGGGCCTGGGTGTCTGAGGTGCCTTACACCATCACTGCAGCTTTCTGTGCCAACTTCAGAGCCAGGTGGCATGGTCCCCATTTTGCCGATGAGAGACTTGAGACTCAGAAAGTTAGTCACTCAGCCCAGGTGGCGATGGCAGACGCACGATTCCAAAGGGCTTCGTCTTTTCGATTGCAGCTAGCGTCAGGTGCAGAGGGCATCGGGTCTGGCCCAGAGGTCAGAAGTCCTTTGTAGCCGGCAGCTGATGAACGACGCACGGCGACCTGCTGACCTCTGTGGGCAGGTGGCCTAGCTCAGCCACCACAGCCCCACGTGTCAAGGATGCACGGGCCCCATGCCCCCACGTCCTCTCTCAAGTGGCATGTGTGGTCCTTGCACCCACCCTGCCCTCGTCAGGCCCCAGTAGCCATCGGGGCTGATGGGGTCTCATGAGCCCCTTCCTGCCCTGTCCCCTTGGCTGTGCTGGGCTTTTCCCGGCTCCTTTCAGGAGGCCCCACGGGCAGCCGAACTGCTCTGCCTGGGCGCCAGCCCTGCTGGCTTTCTCCAGTGACCTTTACGTGTGCTTCGGGGTTGCTGGAGGTGACAGCATGCGGTGCAGAGTGGTTGCACAGCCTCTGGCCGTGTCAAGAGGCTCCAGGCTTGGGCAGGGCTTCTGATCAGACCGAGGAGAGGCCTCGGCAAGATAGGAAGTGAGGAGTCAGGCGATTGCTGACCAGAGGACGGAGGTTTCTGTGGAGATCGGAGGAACAGGAAGCGTAGGACCCAGAGGAGGGGGCAGTGGGCGGCTGGGGGTGTGGGTGCCTGGCGAGAGAGCCTATGGTAAAACGTCAGCCGGTTTAGTGCCCTCCTTGGACAAGCAGGGAGACTGAGCCGCCAGTACGTGGCTATACAGCGCTGGCTCAGCCTGGCCTGCCTCCCCACCCCAGGCGGCTGAGCAGCCCCTCACAGATGGGGGCAGCGGCCCCGCGGGGTGGGCCTGGCTCTGCAGCAGTGCCGTGGCTGCGCTGTGTCCTGACTGGGCGCACACCACCTCCCTCCTGGCCCCCCACGGTGGGTGCAGGTCGAGCGGGCAGGGCCCGGGGAGCCCAGCAGCACCTCCCCCAACAGACTGTGGCCTTTTGTTTTCGGGGTGACACTAGCATCAGGCGATGCGTCTGTGTGACTAATCTCCGGGCGGGCAGCTGTCACTGGGCAGCCTGAGCAGTCTCGTGGGGAAAGCTGACACCCTGGGGAGGGCTGGCAGGCCGGTGCCCGGGCAGCCGCGGGCAGCGGGCTCCTCCTGCGGAACACAGCAGACCCCGAGTCAGGCAGGCCAGGGCTCGGCTGGCTGCGGCACCAGCTGGCTGTGTCACACGGGCGTGTCCTTTATCCCTCTGAGGCCCGGTTTCCTCACCTCCAGGACGCCGGGGCTCCTGGTCCTGCCCCATTCCGGGGCAGTGAGCCAGGGCCGAGCAGGTGTTGGGGGAAGAGCATGGTTCCCTCCCAAAGCCCGGGCGCCTCAGCCCTGCCGGTGGGCCGAGCGGGAAGACCCTGCCTTCCGCCTGTCTGCTCTGTGCCTTGGGTGCAGGCCATGCTGTGGAAAGGCGTGGGTCTCCGTGCTGCCTGCCTGTGGGCTCTGGGAAGATTCCTTGTCTGTGCCTCAGTTTCCTCAGCAGGAACACAGCGTGGGGTTGTTACAGACCATAGAGCAAGCGTGGGCAAAGGGCTGAGCGTGGTGTTGGGCTCACCTCCTGTCCAGGATGTCTGGGGTGCCCACGCTTTGGGGTTGTGAGCTGCTGCCCCGCGCCGGGCACTCGCACAGGTTCCCCGGGCCCCACTGCGTCCCTCTGTACCGGTCGCACTAGCTTAGACCCCTCAACCCACCGCTGGCCCGGGGCACCGCCACGCCTGTCCTCGGCCAGGCCCTTGACAGGAACAAGTCTTCCTCCTGTTGGCCCAGGTGGCACTGGTCCGCGGTGTCCCCAGGTTCAGGGCCAGGGCCCAGAGGAAGCCCTGGTGGGGTCATGGCACTTGGGAGCATCATGCCCTTGCCCGGGCGTCAGCGGTGTGTGGGCCCGCTGACCGAGGCCCGTGCACGAGGGCAGGGCTGGGGAGTCGCTAGTGAAGGGAGCCCAGCGTCAGAGTCCGGGGCCACCCCGCCGGGTCGTGGTGTCCCGTGGATGTCCCCACTCTGCCCCCTCAGAGGTGAGGTCGAGCCGTTGAAAACCAGAAGGCTGTTGGGGCTGCATACAGGTGCACCCCTGGTCCAGCGCCCTCTCTTTGGCCCAGGCCTCTTATGCTCCCGAGTGGAGGCCGGAGTGGCTGCCCCCGCAGGGCCGACCCCCCGGTCTCGGAGGCCTGGTTCCCCAGCACCCCTGAGTCTTGAGCCAGACGTCAGAGTCTCTCCATGTCTTTTTTCCTTTTTTTTTGAGTCTTTCCATTTCTAATGCCACCCTCAACCTAGCCCCAGGGCTGGTGCTTCGAGTCTGGGGTCTTCTCAGTACTGCGGGCCTCCACAGAGAGCCGCGCCCAGCTCGTGTTGGGGGCGAAATCCGCATCCCGCAGTCAGCCTCAACAGGCTCCACTCCCAGCTCTCTCTCTCCAGCTCCTGGCAGGGGCCAGCGCTCCTGGATGCTGGTGTGCAGGCCGGGAAGCTTCCCACCCACGACTCCCTGGGCAGCCCAGGGCTCCGCCTGCAGGGGAGAGAGGCCCCGTGCCACAGCCATCAGTGGTCTTCCTGAGAAGTCTGTGGCCCTTGCACTCGCCTCGTGGAGGCCAGGGTGCCTTCATACCTTGCTCCCTTCTCTGCCCATGGGCACCGATGGGCTGCAGTCTGGCCCCCTCCTGATGCTCCTGGTCTCTGCCCAACAGCCCAACCCACCCCCGGCATGGAGACCTTCTTTAGAAAACACTTCCAGTGGAAAGCACAAGGCCCTGGAGAGGGGCGGCGGCGGCCTAGTGGTGCAGGGCTGCCCACCAGCAAGGCCCGGCGCCGCTCACCTGCCGGGCAGGCCTCCTTCTCGCTGGCACAGCGGCGCCGCTCCAGTGCCCAACTCCAGGGCTGCTTCCTAGGCTGTGGGCTAGGTGCCCAGGGTGGCGGCTCCCGCCGGCGTTCTAGCACCGCACCCCCCGCCTGCAACCCCCGCTTCATCGTGAACAAGGTGCCCACCTTGCAGCCTGCCGCTCTTGGGGCCCAGGGCCTGTGTGCACCCCTGCTGCGGGCTGGACTTGTGGGCATGGAGGAGGCGGAGCAGGAGGAGGGGGTCCAAGAGGAGGAGGTGACGGCTGGGGCATCCAGCTCTGCTCAGCCCAGCGCCAGGATGCCAGAGCCGTCTGTGCACCAGAGTCCCTGGCCGCTGCTGCCTGTGCCTCGGTGTCTGCGCCGGGCATCCTGCCGCCTGCTCCCCGCCGAGGTGGTGTATGACCATGCCCTCTGGGGCCTGCATGGCCACTATCGTCGTCTCAGCCAGCGGCGGCCCTCAGGCCAGCAGCCTAGCCCTGGGGCCCGAAGAGCCTCAGGCACCTCCCGGGGCTCCGTGATCCCTGCCCGGGTGCGCCCGCTGTCCCGCAGGCGCCACGTAGCCCTGCGGCGCAAGGCGGCAGCCGGACCCCAGGCGTGGAGCGCCCTGCTTGTGTAGGTATTGCGGCAGCCAGCGGGGGTCACGCGGGCAGGGCCTTCCAAGCCCCACCTGGCTGGCGGTGGCGTCCCTCCGGGCAGTGCCCAAAGCCAGTGCGTCCCAAAACTCCAGGAGGAGGGCTGAGTCTCCGGCAGGGCCTCTGGGTGCCAGAGATGCTACCGGCCCCACTGCCTCCCCTGTCATCACTCTCCCCATCTTGGCCTTGTGGAGGTCACGCCAGGGGGGAGGCCCAGTGGTGGGAAGGAAGGAGAGCTAGCCACACCCAGCCGGCCCGGGCCTCAGCTGTCCCCTTCCCTGTAGGAAAGCCATCACCAAGTCGGGCCTCCAGCACCTGGCACCCCCTCCTCCCACCCCCGGGGCCCTGTGTGGCGAGTCGGAGCGGCAGATACGGAGCACTGTGGACTGGAGCGTGAGTAACCGATGCCGGGCTGGGCTCCCCGTTGACACCCCCGGGGCTGCCTGTGCTCAGCTGTAGGCCGTGGACGCAGTCAGGACTAAGAGGGCCTCTGGGCACCAGGGGTAGGGAGCCCCTTGGCCTGTGGGGTCCGGGCAGACTTCTTGGAGCTGGCTGTCTCTGAGCCGGGCCTAGGGAGTAGACGGTGGTGAAGACAGGACAGAGGAAAGTGGGCTGGTGGCAGGAGCCCATTCACCCTGGGAGAGGAAGGGCTGGCAGGGTGGCGTGGGGCTGAGGGGCTGAGCAGGCGGCCAGTGTACATGGACCATGCTTACCCCTCGGTCTAGGAGTCAGCCACATATGGGGAGCACATCTGGTTTGAGACCAACGTGTCAGGGGACTTCTGCTATGTTGGGGAGCAGTACTGTGTCGCCAAGATGCTGGTGAGTGAGCTCTGTGGGGCTGCTGCCCCCTGGTGGCGGAGCAGGATCTAGACATGGGGCTGACAGCTGCAGCCCTTCCCAAGGTGGGGAGAGCTCACCTGAGTCCCCACCTGTGCGCTGCCCCACGGGCCAAGGGAACAGGAGCTGGTCCTGATGCCAGGCGCCGGGACTGGAGTGCCCAGAACATGCAGGGCAGCTGTGCTGAGGTGGACACAGAAGGACTCCAGGTGCCTGAAGTGGCATCTGTGATGGTGCTGGCTGGTGCCTTAGGAGCTTCTCTGTCCTGCAGCAGAAATCGGTGCCCAGGAAAAAGTGTGCAGCCTGCAAGATCGTGGTACACACTCCCTGCATCGAGCAGCTGGAGAAGGTGAGTGCAACACACGTTGACGTGTCTACACACGCATACACACACGTCACACCAGCACTGCCGGCCCTGGAGCATCTCAGCATGTGTGGTAGTGAAGCAAGGACCCTGGAGCCGTTGCCTGCCTTGCTCCCTGGCTCCCTGTTTGTCAGCTGCCGAACGCACTGCCTAGAGCAACCCTGACACGGTGGGGCTCCCTGCGTGTTGCTTGGCGGCGTGAACTGACCAGCGGTGCCATGATGCCGTTTATTTATCACATCCGTGCTAGCGTTTAGAAGAGGCTGTTGAGTTTGCTGCTTGGCTGTGACTAGGCCAGTCCTGTGTCACCCCAAGCCTGGCCCTGTCCCCTCTGTGCTGCCTCTGGAGAGACTCGCATTCCCAAGGACCATTGTGCATGATGTGTCTGCAGCTGGGGGCGGATCTTTGCACTGTGCTTCTGGGGGAAGGACAAAAGGACCCCAGGGCCAGGGGGCTGGGTAACACGGGGGGCGGGCGACCTGAACAAGGGCTCCCAGCCCGCAGGAGCCCAGGCGCCACGTGGGAATGTCCCCAAGTACAGGAGCTCTGCTGGGGCAGGCTGCTTTGCAGGCCCCGAACCAGGAGTGAAGCCTCCTGTGATTTCTGGGGCCAAGCAGGCAGCATCAGGGGAAGAGAAGTTGAGATGCAGCCCGGTCGTGGACGATGCCAGGTGCCAGCCTGCTAGCAGGGTTCAGATTCCTGCATTCTCCTTGGCCGGGGGCACGGGGTGAGGAAACGGATGAGTAACCACGGTCCCACTGGAGTGGGGCAGGGACAGAGCACACCCAGGGTCCTGGGAAGGGGAAGGAGAGATCCCTTCTTGCTAGCAGGCAGGAGCGCTTCTGGGAGGAGGAGGCAGCCGTGTCCTAAGGGCTCCCAGGCTAGTTTGGGGCACTCTGCCCTTGAGGGTGGCTCTGGATAACCCTCTCCAAAGCAGCTGCTGACACTGGTCGCTGCACTCTCACAGATAAACTTCCGCTGTAAGCCATCCTTCCGGGAATCGGGCTCGAGGAACGTCCGAGAAGTAAGTGTGCAAGCCGGTGAAGGACCAGAATGCCCTGAACTCCCGAGGGGGTCCCTCTGCAGGGCCTCCAGAGTGCCGCCGGGGGCTCAGGTCCTTCTGGGCTGATCTGGGGACCCGGCAGGTGCTGGGCCTGGTTCTGAGGTCTCCCAAAGGGGAGGCCTGGCTGGCCCTGCCTACAGCAGGTGGGGCACCTGTACCTCATTGTGCCCCCATCCTGGCAGCCCCCAGCCCTCTGTGTCCCTCCTGTGAGTCTCAGCCAGAGCTGGATGTCCCCAGCGCTGTGCCCCTCACCCCAGTGGCACTGCTTTCCTCCCCCAGCCGACCTTCGTGCGCCACCACTGGGTACACAGACGACGGCAGGATGGCAAGTGCCGGCACTGCGGGAAGGTGAGGGCCGCTGCCCGCAGCCCAGCTCGTCTCCCACTAGGGGCGGCCCCGAGCGCCGCGTCGCAGGCTGCCTCCCACTCCCCACACTCTGGCTACACCTTGGGTCTCTGGGTGAGCGGAAGGGCAGGGAGGAGCAGCGTCTGGCTGCTCTGGCCTCGTACGAGACCCCTTCGCGAAGGCTCACTCGCTGGCTCAGGGGTAGTGACCAAGCTGCGTGGCGAGTTCGGCCCAGCTGCAGACAGCGAGGCTGGGGACGGACCCCTCGGAGCGCCTCCCCAGCACAGCCCACAGGGGCTCGCTCGCCCAGCGGCTTCGTGTCCGTCTGCTGCAGGTGGAGCACTGTGCCTCCCTGTGTGTGCAGAGCGCAGCCCGGAGGCCTGGGCTAAGGCTGGGGGCGGACAGGGAGCAGTGCACGCGCAGTGCCAGAGAACCCAGCTGGTCTGGGTCCTGCCCAGGTCTGGCTGCAGGAAGCGGGGAATTGGGCCAGGCAGGAGTTGGCCCTTGGCATGCCCGGCAGGGTGGCCAAGCACCCCTGCCCCCAGGTTTGTTTTGTATTTCTGGGCTTTTTAAATGTGGGCTTAGTCTCCCAGCTTGAGAGGCTGGCAGCAGAGGAGGGGCCGGTCTTGCCGTGGCCCTGTACAAAGTCAGCCTGCCCACCCGCAGGGCTTCCAGCAGAAGTTCACCTTCCACAGCAAGGAGATTGTGGCCATCAGCTGCTCCTGGTGCAAGCAGGCGGTGAGTGGTGACCCGGTCCGTATCTAGGCCGCACGGGGCGGGCCTGGGGCCCCGGCCCGATCTCCGCCCCCTGGGCCCGCTCAGCCTCGCCTGCCCTCCCCTCCAGTACCACAGCAAGGTGTCGTGCTTCATGCTGCAGCAGATCGAGGAGCCATGCTCCCTGGGCGTCCACGCGGCTGTGGTCATCCCGCCCACCTGGATCCTCCGTGCCCGGAGGCCGCAGGTCAGTCCCGCGCCGCCCTGCTGCCCCCGCCCGAGGCTGCCAGCCTGCCCCATCATTCACACCCCTGCTTCCCTCGCAGAATACCCTCAAGGCCAGCAAGAAGAAGAAGAGAGCCTCCTTCAAGAGGAAATCCAGCAAGAAGGGGCCTGAGGTGAGAGCGAGGCTGGCGGGAGGGGAGGGGCAGGAGAGGGAGGGCGCCCGCTGCCAGCGCAGCCTTCGCGTCGCGCTGGGCCCCAGGCCTGAGCGGGGCATGAGAGCCGCTCCGCTGTGCCCGCAGCTGGCTGCCCCAGTCTGAATGAGGCTGCACGTGAGGGTATGCAGAGCAGGGGGGGGCGTGTCACCCGGGGCCCAAGGAGGGGACCTCCAGGACAGGGCGTGGCCTCACGGGCTCTGTGTCTCCAAGGAGAGCCGCTGGAGACCCTTCATCATCAGGCCCACCCCGTCCCCCCTGATGAAGCCCCTGCTGGTGTTTGTGAACCCCAAGAGTGGAGGCAACCAAGTAAGCACAGCCTTTCTTTCCCAGGGCTCCGGGTGGGGCTTGGGGCCACCCCTGCCAGCAGGCGTCCCGGGTCCGTGTCCCAGGAACCCTAAGAGGCCCGTCCTCTCGCCCCTTCCGTACCCCTCGCCGCCTTCCCCCGCACCGCCTCCTGCCGTCCCCTGACTTCTGCCTCAGCACCCGTCCCCTGTCCCCACAGGGCGCCAAGATCATCCAGTCCTTCCTCTGGTACCTCAACCCCCGGCAAGTCTTCGACCTGAGCCAGGGAGGGCCCAAGGAGGCGTAAGGACCTGGCGGGTTCTCTGGGGGCTGGTGGAGGACACACTTGGCTCGAGGGGCGCGGCACCCCCCTTGACCCCATTCCTGTCTTTTCCTGGCCCAGGCTGGAAATGTACCGCAAAGTGCATAACCTGCGGATCCTGGCGTGCGGCGGCGACGGCACGGTGGGTCCTCGGCACTGGGTCGGGCCCCACACAGTCCCCTCGGGCCTGAACGGCTGCCTGCTCTGCTGTCCTCCAGGTGGGCTGGATTCTCTCCACTCTGGACCAGCTGCGCCTGAAACCGCCGCCCCCTGTAGCCATCCTGCCTCTGGGGACTGGCAACGACTTGGCCCGCACCCTCAACTGGGGTGGGGTAAGTACCTGGGAGAGAAGGGCTTCGCACCAGGGCTACTCTGACCCAGGAGGGCTCATCCCGGCTTCCTCCCGCCAGGGCTACACGGATGAGCCCGTGTCCAAGATCCTGTCCCATGTGGAGGAGGGCAACATAGTACAGCTGGACCGCTGGGACCTCCGGGCCGAGCCCAACCCTGAGACGGGGCCCGAGGAGAGAGACGAGGGTGCCACCGACCGGGTGGGTCACGGCTCGAGACCCGGGCAGGACCTCATGCTCCCGCCTGCCGGTTCTGGGAACTGGGGTGGGTCCCCTGGTGCTCCAAACATCCCGGGGTGTCACGGTGCCGCCTGCCAAAGTAGTTTTTATCAGCTACTGGCAAATATTTACCAACGACCCGCTCTGCACCAGGCCCTGTTGCGAGCAGTGGAGGACACAGGGTCCACTCTCGGAGCTCACGCAGTGCTTGGCATGGGGACACCGTGGGGTGGGGGCCTCAGCGGAGATGCAGGCGTACCCCTGGGGCGGGGGACAAGGGAACAGGGCATTGGCGGGGTCCCCAGGCAGAGACCTCTGGCAGCAGAGGGGACTTCAGTGAAGCTGTCCTCATCTCGGTCCCTCGTCTTTCTCCAGCTGCCCCTGGATGTCTTCAACAACTACTTCAGCCTGGGCTTCGATGCCCACGTCACCCTGGAGTTTCACGAGTCTCGAGGTGAGCAGCTGGGGCAGGGAGGCCCGGGGGAAGGCGCCCGCTCCCAGCTTCCCGCCCCACCCCAGCCTGGGAAGCACCCGCATGACTGTCCCCTCCCTGTCCACGCAGAGGCCAACCCAGAGAAGTTCAACAGCCGCTTCCGGAATAAGATGTTCTACGCCGGGGTGAGTTGAGGCCTGGTGGGACCCCAGCCCCCACAGCCCCTGTGTCTGTCTGCCAGGCCAGAGACCTTCCCGCAGCAGCAGCAAGGGAGAGTCTCTGTCACAAGACGGTGACACCTTGTCTCCCACAGACAGCCTTCTCTGACTTCCTGATGGGCAGTTCCAAGGACCTGGCCAAACACATCCGAGTGGTGGTGAGTGGGCAGCTGGCCGAGCGGAGGGCCCACAGGGAGGGAGGCCACCCAGGTGCGTGTGCCCAGCACTCCCCGGTTCTCGCCTCCAGTGTGACGGAACGGACCTGACCCCCAAGATTCAGGACCTCAAGCCCCAGTGCATTGTTTTCCTGAACATCCCCAGGTGAGGAGCAGGCTGTAGCGCCCTGCCGGCCCTGCCCCCCGACCCCCAGAGCCTGTGCCAAAGCCCCCCCCCCCGCTCCCCCCAGGTACTGTGCGGGCACCATGCCCTGGGGCCACCCTGGGGAGCACCATGACTTCGAGCCTCAGCGGCATGACGATGGCTACCTCGAGGTCATCGGCTTTACCATGACGTCCCTGGTGAGTGGGCCTGGCTCCGCTTTATCCCTGGCCTGTGCCCAGTGCCCACGAGCACAGCCTGACGCCCCAAGGGTCGCCCCACTCGCGGTCGTTGGCCAGCGTCAGGTTGCCCTCACCTCCTGACTCCAGAGTGACTCTCAGCCTGTGTCCTCTGAATGTGGGGCCTGGGGGCACCTTCACCCCCCATGCTACACTCTGGGGTCTCTCTGCCCAGAGCCCTAGCGCGGCACCTGACCCGAGCCCCCTGTGCCCGCAGGCAGCGCTGCAGGTGGGCGGGCACGGCGAGCGGCTGACACAGTGCCGTGAGGTGCTGCTCACCACGGCCAAGGCCATCCCGGTGCAGGTGGACGGCGAGCCCTGCAAGCTGGCAGCCTCACGCATCCGCATCGCGCTGCGCAACCAGGCCACCATGGTGCAGAAGGCCAAGCGGCGCAGCGCCGCACCCCTGCACAGCGAGTGCGTCCCCCTCGGGCCGCGCCGGCCGCGCCTCGGCTCCCTCAGCTGTGGTCAGGGCTGTTGGCTGGGCCTGTGGCGTAGCGTGCACGGGCCCCAGCTTCCATCCCCGGCACCACGGGGTGGGGGAGTAACAATCCCTGTGCCCCCGGGCTCCGGGAGGAGGGCAGGCATCCATCAGCGCTGGTGAGCTTGGCGAGGGACCTGACCTTCACCTGCCCCACCCCACAGCCAGCAGCCCGTCCCTGAGCAGCTGCGGATCCAGGTGAGCAGGGTCAGCATGCATGACTACGAGGCCCTGCACTACGACAAGGAGCAGCTCAAGGAGGCCTGTGAGTGGCAGCGGGGCTGGGGCCCTGCGGATGGGCGGTGGGGACAGCCACGTGCTGACGGGCCTTTCTCCCCTAGCTGTGCCGCTAGGCACCGTGGTGGTTCCCGGAGACAGCGACCTTGAGCTCTGCCGTGCCCACATTGAGAGGCTACAGCAGGTATGAGGCGGGGCGGGAGGACGTGGGGTGTCCCCTGCTCCCAGCTCCCACCAGCTGTCCCCACCCGACCCGTGCTTCCCTCTTTCCAGGAGGCCGACGGTGCTGCAGCCAAGTCCCCAACGTGCCAGAAACTGTCGCCCAAGTGGTGTTTCCTGGATGGTGAGTACAGCAGGGTCATTCCCAAGGGCTCAGGCTGGGCCAGGGCCAGGACTTCCGCCCTCATCCCAGGCCAACCCTCTCTCCGCAGCCACCACGGCCAGCCGCTTCTACAGGATCGACCGCGCGCAGGTGAGGCCCGCCGCCCCCGGCCCCCACGTGTTGGCTCTCCGCACCCTCCCGGGTGAGCCTCCGGGCACGGCCGCTCACTGGCTGGGAGGGCCCAGAAGCACAGCACCGTCGGAGGAGACGGAAGAAGACGGCGCAGGGCCAGGGCACATGGGCAGAGGCTGGGCAATGAAGAGCGGCCCGACGCCTGGGGCAGGGCTGGGCCCAGGCAACAGGAGGGGCGGGGGCTGCAGGGCCCCCACTGGCTGCCTCCCTCCTGCGGTGCTGCTCAGGCCTCAGCCCCGACCTCCCTACCCACAGGAGCACCTCAACTACGTGACCGAGATTGCGCAGGACGAGATTTATATCCTGGATCCCGAGCTGCTCGGGGCATCGGCCAGGCCCGACCTCCCCACCCCCACGTCCCCCCTTCCTGCCTCCCCCTGCTCCCCTACGCCCCGGTGAGTCCCAGCGCCCCATCTCCCTGTCCCCTGGCTGTACACCCATCTGCAGCCGATGACTGCCAGTCCTGCCTTTAGCCCCAGCCTGTCCATGAGCAAGTGAGCTGCGCACCCCCATGCCCATCAGCCAGTACCTGAAAGGGTGACCGGCCCGAGCCCGCCGCCCTGCTCTCCCCAGGGAGTGGCCTCGGGCTCCAGACCCGTGTCCTCTGGGCACGCCTCCTGCTCGAGCCCTGCGTCCTCTGGCCGAGGCTGCCAGCCTGACCCCACTGCTTGGGGGCCCCTGTGCCAAGCCCGGACGCTCAGCCTCGCCGCCTCATGCTGTCCCCTTCTCCCCCGAGCCCCGCCTGAGCCTCAGCTTGGCTCCTCCCCGAGAGCTCTTTCCCAGGACCCCTTGCTCGCCGCTCTCGACCCGTCCCTTATTCATGGCTGGGCCAGTCTGTGGCCTGCACCGGCGCCTCCGCCCTGGAGGGCAGCTCCGCCTCCTCCCCGATGCCCCAGTGCCTAGACCGCTGCTGCTGCACAGCGAGCGCTCGGCAAACTCCCAGAAGTTGCAGGGCACCGCTGGGTGGGTAAGGGAGGGTGCGGCCAGCCTGGCTGAGCCGGGCCACATCTGTCCTGCTCTGTTCCCAGGTCACTGCAAGGGGACGCTGTGCCCCCTCCAGGTGAGGACTCTTCCCCTGGCCCCCTTCCTGCCTTCCCTGGACACAGGCGTGAGGCTCGGAGGGGGGGCAGGGTCCCCCACAGCTTATAATTGCACACCTCATGCACATGCATTCCCAAGCCCCGGCTCGCCTCAGTGTGACAGGCAGGTGTTCCTTGCAGGTGAGGCGCTGATCGAGGCCGCCCAGAGGAATGACTTCTGTAAGGTACAGCCGCTCCCCGGGAGGTGGGGTCTGTGGCTGGGCCTGGAGCCAGCCTGCTAGGCACTGTCATCTGCCACCGTCTGGCCCCCTGCGGGTCTCCATGGCAGTGATCCCATCCCACCTGGCCCCAGCTGTCCGGGGCGCAGCAGGTGTCTCGTAGGCCAGCTGCTGTAGTGCTGAGAGACAGGCAGGTCGTGGAGGAGCCAGCGTCACAGGAGACCCCAAAGGCACCCGGGGAGTAGTGTGTCAGTGCTTGTGGGTGCACGTGCTTGTAGGCCTGTGCAGGCTGGGAAGAGGGGACCCCAGGAGACCAGCCCTGCTCTCTGCCCTCAGCTGCAGGAGCTGCACCGAGCCGGAGGGGACCTCGTGCACCGGGACTCTCGCGGCCGCACGCTCCTGCACCACGCGGTCAGCGCTGGCAGCAAGGAAGTGGTCCGCTACCTGCTGGACCACGGTGAGCCACGCGCCCGGGGCCAGGTTCAGGGGTGGGGGCTGCAGGCCGCTCTGACTCTGCGCTTCCCTCCGCAGCACCCCCGGAAATCCTCGATGCCGTGGAGGAGAAGTGAGTATCTGGGAGCCCTGGTGACCTGACATCACCCCTCGGCCTCCACTTCCTTTTGGTCAGTCGGAGCCCATGAACCCTCCTGGCCAGGCTGTCGTCCTCTGATGGCCCCTGGGAGGGTGCGAGGGGTCCACAGCCAGCCCCTCTTCCCCAGCGGGGAGACCTGTCTGCACCAGGCAGCGGCCCTGGGCCAGCGCACCATCTGCCACTACATTGTGGAAGCCGGGGCGTCGCTCATGAAGACGGACCAGCAGGTGAGCAGCCTCTCCGAAATGGGGGCACGGGCTGCCCTTGGGATTTGAAGTTGTCCTTCCACCAACACAGTCCAGCCCGAGACCTGAGTCACGGGGAGGAGCTGGTGTGCTAGGCTTCACGTGCTTTTAGGAGGGTTCCTGATCTCCCTCCTTTCCCAGGGCGACACCCCCCGGCAACGGGCTGAGAAGGCACAGGACACGGAGCTGGCCGCATACCTGGAGAACCGGCAGCACTACCAGATGATCCAGCGCGAGGACCAGGAGACGGCTGTGTAGTCACAGCCCGGAGGCCGAGCAGCCCGAGAGGCCAGGAACGTGAGCTGCCTACGGGCCACCTGATCGCCACATTCCAGTTGCCGCAGCGAGGAGGGGGACCGTGCCCCAGGGAAGGAGCCACTCTGGTGACCTAGGGCTGGACTCGGAGGAGCTGGGGCTGTCATCTGCTTCCCCTCAGCGCCCCCAGCCCATCCCCCTGGCTCAGGGAGCAGGAACCGGGCAGCTGGGCCACTGCGGGACAGCCTCACCCTCAGCCCGGCAGACGCGCTCCGAGGATCGGCCCAGGCAGGGCACCGGGCACCGGGTGCTGAGCTTCCGGAAGAGGCTCCGCCGGCCATCTGGTCCCCAGGGCCCGCCCGCACTCCCAGGAGCTCAGCGCCTCCCCCGACCACCCTCCCGGCTCCTCCCGGAAACAGAGCCTGCTGCGTTGTCCTGCCCTGCCCTGTTGGCACCGACCTTGGTGACCCTCCCCTCCCGTGTACTCAGCGTTTCATCGTGGACTGTGCGGCCTGGGGGCCGGGGGGTGGGGCGGGTGGGGCTCTCCGGTGACATGTTTACAGCTGGGTGTGACTCAGTAAAGTGGATTTCTTTTTTTCTCTCTGGCTTTTATTCCCCTCCGCCCCGGGGGTCCTCCCGAAGCGGAGGGCTCGGTGGGGTTATCCTCGGGTCGAGGAGTGGGCGTCGCCGATCCAGCCCCTTTCCTGGGGCCCCGGCGTCACCCGGCTCCTGACCTCTGCCCGCGGCCGGCTCCTGGGGCCGAGGGCGGAGCCGGGCTCCCGGGCTTCCCGCTCCCGGCTGGGACAACAATGAGTGGAAGAGGTGGGGCGGGGCCGGGAGGCTTCCTCGAGGCGGAGCAGCCCCTCCCGGGCCGTGGGGTCGGCGGTGCGCCCCCGGGCCAGGGCCGCG